TGTGGCAACCTGCCCCTCAATTTTATTTGCACATTAAACACTTCCACCAACGACATTCCACGCAAACACCCACTTAGGGCCTTGGGAGTGGGCACACTCAACGGCATTTGGCAAGGGGATCTTTCAGCCTCATCCTGAGTGCCGGTGTCAACTTCCAATTTTAAACTGCACTTAGACACAGAGGGCTGTGGGGGGAAGTGGGGTTGTGATGTTGCATCAGCTGGCGTAGGCCAGACAATGCCTGCACTGCCCGCTCACCCCAGCTATGGAATACACCTCATCAACACGCACCATCACTGTATTGGAGCAGGCGGAGGGAGACTAGGGTTTGTAGCACACCTCCGTTGTCGCTTGGCTTCCCGGGGCCGGAGGCTAGGAGGGGGATCTGGCTGTCTGGTTGGGGTCTGGGGTGGTGGGATGCTTTGCTCAGCGTTGAATGGGGGTAGCCTGCTCATAATCACTCCAGCAGAAAGGGGCTAATTCTGGGAACCGGTGATGGTTGTACCCCATGTGCAGCAGTACCGGGACCAGAGTGAATAGAGTGTGTATGGGGAGTGTGAGTGGGTGTCTAGCATTCATTTTGTAAGTCTTGAGTTGCATGTGTATGTGTGAGCATGAGGGAGGGAGTGTGTGACTGTGTCTGGGTATGACTGTATATGTCAGGTGGGGTCTTGGACTCCTCCCTTCTCTTAGGACTTCTTTTGATGCTATACATCTTCGCCTCCCCTCCCCCTGTCACATTTGGTGTGGAGTGTGGTGCCTTGGTCTGCCTGAGTGTTTGCGGCTCTCGGGTCAGGGGGTTTAAGATTTTTGGCATCTGTCTGATCGATCCCGGTGGCTGCCTGGTGGGATCTGAGTCCCTGGGCTCTGTTGGGTCCCCAGCGGTGCTGGTTGCCCCTGGGTCCCGGGTCGCTGGGTTCCGGGTTCTGCCGGCTAGGGGGTGGGAGGCTGTGGGCTTGCCGCTGATATCTCCCGGGACTCTGCCGGCTGCTGGTTGTGGCCCCCCGGGCCAATCCTCTGCGCCTCTTGAGAGGGGGCAGGGGCTTTTCTCGTTGCAGTCTCCCTGGGGTCACTGCGCTCTGGGGCAGCTCCTGGATCTCTGGGACTTGGAGCTCCCTCCATCTCCTACACATCTTTGGGGGCAGATATGTGACCCCTCACAGTCTCTATTGGACGCTCCTATAGAGAAACCTTACATAAACAAGCGCGTGTACACACACAGGTGCTCACATGGTGCTCTCAGAAGTATGGACTTGGGCACGTTCAACACGTCTTAAGGCTGTGGTTGGCACTTAATGCACTGTGATTTATTATCGTGTGATTGTTCAGTAAAACAATGTTGATTTTGTATTTCCTCATCAGGTTCATGCAGTGATAGCTTGCTCCTGTTGTATTGTTGTGTGTTGTTGTTCTCTTTCTGCAGGTCTAGAAGCAGACTCTTGTTCATCAATTATTTATCCCCCCATCTCTTCCTTTCTCTTTCACCTCTGTCTCCGTGTCTGGTCGAAATTACAAAGCATTCAAGAAACAATAACAATAAAGTTTTAAATATCAGGCGTAACATTGAAAGCAGAAGCTTTGATGCTCCACATGACAGTAAATCTGTAAGGCTTGTCACCAGCATTCAGACATCAGTTCTGTTTGCTTCACAGCCAGACAGGACACTGAGAAAAACATAAGAAAAACAAACGAAAATTAATGTTTCATCACAGTCAAACTAGTGTAAAATGCTAGCCTGGCAAGCTATCCTATATATATGTGAATATATAGTCTGGCCGGGACGGGATCTACGGTTGTCTCCACATGCTACTGGACAATGAAAAACATGACATACTCACCGCTACTGATGTCAGTCAACGGCATTGAACATATTCTAAATGATATATCAGGGCAAAACAACCAGATGTTTTCAATCAGAAAAGTCAAGTATTGTAGAAGAGTTCACGATGCGTTCCAAGACAGCATCAGTTCTTAGGGAGTGTGGCAGTTACTTCAGAAAACTTCTACGAATTCACACCAGTCATTTGCAGAATGTTTACATAATCTGGTCCATTATGGGAGTTTTAGGCAGAAAGGCAGCAAGAAAACAAAGGGTGTATCACAGTTCAGTGGCAAAAATAACCCCAGGAGGATGTTCTTAATCAAGCCGCGTTCCATGTCTCTTTGTGTCGGCTAATGCCTGTGTTTTTGGCTGCACAGGAGAGTAAAGGAGTCCATATATCTGCTAATACCTGCAAAAAGACCTGTTTTACCACCTCTTACCTCTTCACCTATACTATATGCTACTTCTGTAGTCAAAGTGTGTGTGTGTGTGTGTGTGTGTGTGTGTGTGTGTGTGTGTGTGTGTGTGTGTGTGTGTGTGTGTGTGTGTGTGTGTGTGTGTGTGTGTGTGTGTGTGTGTGTGTGTGTGTGTGTGTGTGTGTGTGTGTGTGTGTGTGTGTGTGTGTGTGTGTTCACTTCAGAGCTCTCAGAGAGGACCCTGGGACCCTCCTCAACCGAGAGAGCTTTTAGCTCTTCCTCGCTAATGTCCTGAATAATGGCATCTTGATGGAGACGGAGAAAAAAAGAGACAGGGGAAAGAGAAAACGGGGGAGAAAAAGGGGGACAGAGGAGAAGAGAAAGACAGAGAGAAACCTGCGAGTGTGTGTCTTTACCTCCATCCCGTCATCAGCAGCAGGTCCACCATTATTCCCTCTCTCAGCCCTTCTATTTTCATTATTCTCTCTTTGTGTTTTTTGAGCAGGATGATGATCCGGGCCTTTTACTTACTTTCTCTAAACAGAGTCGTCCTTGTGTGTGTGTGTGTGTGTGTGTGTGTGTGTGTGTGTGTGTGTGTGTGTGTGTGTGTGTGTGTGTGTGTGTGTGTGTGTGTGTGTGTGTGTGTGTGTGTGTGTGTGTGTGTGTGTGTTTGTGTGTGTGTGTGTGTGTGTGTGTGAGCAGCCTTTTGCAGGTGAACTTTAGACAACAATGAAGCATTATTTGAAAGAAAATGGAATTTGGGCAGCATTAGCTGGAGCTCGTCCAGCTTTCGTCTCAGACAGAGGCGGTTTCAAGCTTGTCTTGACATTAAAAGTTCACGTTTGTGTTTTTTTTTAAACAAAAAGTAGATGTGATCCAACGAGAACATGTCCTCTTGAGTTTGGGGTTGAAACAGAAAAGTGGAACTGTCTTGTAAGAATCCCGTTTCCTGTTTTGTGCATGGTTTTCTCCACCGGTGGAAGCCGTTGGCAAACGTCCTTCCTATAAAACATGATTTCAGGCCTTTTCATGGCAAACTGCTCCACGGCGCTCTGATAACAGGCCTCGTCGGCTCTCATTTGTCTCAAGCGGGGAGAAGGCTGCGTTTTGGTTTTGCTGTAACACTCCGAGACATTTGCATCACCTCATTAAATACTGACACAGATTTCTGTGGAAGAATTCACAATTTAAAGGTTTCGCTCCACTTCAAAGCTTTCCCACCTGCTCCTCTCCCTTTTTGGAACTTGTGGAGAATGGTGTGGTTAGAAATTAAGCTGGACTGGACGACTGGGTAACGCGTTACAATAAAAGTCCATTTATTTACGTTTGCTTAATGTGTTATTAAGCATTAATAAACAAAGGACCTCTTTTTTAACATAACTGGAACTGTTACCTATCAAGTGTCCTTAAGGTTAGGCCAAAGGGTGTGTGGGGTGGGGGTGGGGTGGGCTTAGTTATGTATTGCTTAATATGGTTAAGCAATTGTCAATACTTTATTTAATAGTTTATTAGTGCTTAATAATGCATTAAGTCATGTTAATGAAGGAACCCTTATTGTAAAGTGTTACCTTCAACTAGTTTCTGTCTGGTTTAGGTGTGTGTGTGTGTGTGTGTGTGTGTGTGTGTGTGTGTGTGTGTGTGTGTGTGTGTGTGTGTGTGTGTGTGTGTGTGTGTGTGTGTGTGTGTGTGTGTGTGTGTGTGTGTGTGTGTGTGTGATGCTGAAGGGGTCATCGCCACACCAGACAAGCAAATACTCTGAGCTCAGAAAGTTAACCATTGAAGCTTTTATTATTTCGTTTATCTTTTTGAAACACACCAGCTGGTCACGTGTTTGAGACTTTTCTGTCCCCTTCAGATTCTCCATTTCATTCTTTTAATCTAATTTCATATTTGTACCTTATTTTGGAATAATTTTATCCACAAAATATGTGTTTCCAAATTTGGAAAAAAATAACCTTTTTTCAATTCTTTTATAGCATTTTTTTAAAGAAGCAAATGTGTGAAAATGACTAAAACTGGTTGTAAATGTAATGTGAATGAAGTCAGAATCAGTCCGGGCCTGCGTGCGTCGCTGAGTGAACATCTCCAGTCTTTTAAAACTGCACCACACGACTCTGCTGCGGCTTTAATTATTCATTAACTTCGTGTAAAATGTCAATCTGGCGCAGTTAGAGACGCAAAACTGCAACAGGTTTGTTTAGAGGCTCAAATTTATTGTTAGGTATTAATCTTTATATTTATTGAATTCGGAAATAACAAATTTTAGGGGGAAATGTGCGCATTTTAAAATGAGTATTCCTTTTTTTCTTCCTTACAATAAACCTTAATGAGCTGCATTCCTCCACACAGAAAACTCAACCCGCTTCCAGTTGGACATCAGGATATTTACAGCTTCAGGAAAATGGTTTAAAAAGATTTGTATGCTTTGGTTTCAGTTCAGATTTTAACGACGCAGATTTAGCACTTGGCGCGTGCCGGAGAGTTGGTAAACAATCAGGAGCGAAATAACTCCTCCGTCTCTTAGAATTAGCGTCTCCTTTTGTTATAATGAAGAATCGTTTTGTTTTATTTAAGCTTTTCCCGAAACAAACCAGTTTTTGCGCACATTTAAAGTCGCTTTAGAACAACGATTAGTTTCACATTCGTGGTTTCTCTCTCATTTGATGCTGGTGGTTCTTCAGCTTCCAAAATAAAAATAAAAATGCATTTCAGATCTGACGTCTTTAGGAAACGGTGGTGCCGATCCATTTTAAGCAGTTTATTTTCCTTTTACGCGCGAACAATGAGATAAAATTAACGATTAAAGTGTTTTTTAACAGTTTAAACTTTATCTTCTAAACGCATTTGCTAACTTTTGGATATTTTAAGGTCAGATGGAGTAGATTGGTTCTACACAAACTCCCCCTGCCTAAGTCGGACCCCGGTTAACCTCCTCCCCCTCTCTCCTGCCTCTCCTCCTACGCTCTGCCGGCTCTCCTCGTCCACTCTCCTCTTTATAAAGAAAATCCAGCGGGTCCGGCTCCTCTTCCTTATTGGTCAGGTGGAGCCGTTACCTCACTCCGGGACCCGTGACGCAGCGTCTTGGCGCATCCTTCATGTGCGCCTCTTCTTGTTTCTTACACTGAGAGTCTTCCAGTCCGCTCAGAGGGATGAAGACGGACCCGCGGCGAACCGGGAGCGGTCGGTGCTGAAACACTTCCCATCCCGGGAGGAGCGCGGCGCACACGAGCAGCGGCTCTCTCCGTCTCCGCTTCTCTTCTACGCACACTTTCTCTGCGAGCTCCCCCCGCCCATACTCACACACACACCAGTCACTCACGCGCCCACGCACGCCCTCCGTAGTAAATCACGGCGCTGATCTCAAAGGCGAGTGTGGATCTGCCTCTTTCTCGCTCTTTCTTCGACGGGACGACTCGGGAAGCGCACCAGAGAAGTAAGTAACGCGCGCTCCTAACTCCGGTTTGTTTCCAGCTCCACTTCCAGACCTTCCAGGTCCAGTTTAGGGGGTCAAACTGAGACCAGTTTCTGTCCAAACTTTCAGATCAGCGCGTGTTTTCATCCATCAAATTTCACGAGTAGAAAACCAAAAAAAAGTTGAGTTTTAGCTGAAATTTGTCCCGGATTTTAAACACCTGCGCAGCTTTGGGTCTTGTTTTCCCCAGTTTCTAATCAGCTACGGACTAAATCTACTCCAGTTTTGCTGCGTAAACCAAACAAAGCTTCTGTGATTTCTCTCTTTCTCACTAATCAAACAAAACCAGGACAGTGTCCAGCCTTGGACAGTGGACCCTTCCTGTAGCTGCTGTCCTTATCGTGGATTCATTGTTGTTATATCAGCCGTGAGCAAGGCAGTGCGTAAAAGTACGCGTCTAGCTCTAATAAGGGTTGTTTTCTAACCAAAATCATCCCAAAAACGGTCAAAACTCTACAATTATCTTACTTTTGTCACTTTTTAAATAATATTTCTCAAAACTGAAGATGCAAACGTTTGGTTTTGGGTTCCCTTTCGGTTTTTTATAGTTACATTTGTTTTGAAAGTCATGAAATAAATTTAGTATTTAGAGTTATTAAAGCAGGACTTCCCTGTTCAGTTCTCAGCAGCTGAGAAACGTTTTCCTGTCCTTCAAATTCAGATTCAAACCAAAAGTTTCAGTTTTGACACAAACCCCATCACAGGAGGGTGTTTCACATCTCCTTTCAGAGCTCAGAAGCTCTGATCTTTTACCTGAAAATTATTTAAACTGTTTTTTATTACGTGAGTAAAGAACAGAGGATTTGGCTTCTTATCATTTGCATGATCCTTCATTTATTTATTTATTTATTTATTTATTAAGTAAAAACCAAGTTTGAATAAAACCATAGTTGAAACATGCAGAGGTGTGAGAGGATCTGGGTCACTGCAACGCTTCACTCGGGGATTTCAGTGAAACTTGGCGTCATATTCAAAGTAACCTTTGTGGAAATGTTTCAGTCACTTTCTGCTTTGTTTGCTGCTCCATATCTGGGGTTTTGTGTCTTTTCTGACCGGTTTACTTGTAAAAAAAAAAAGCTCTAGATTTTTCAGAAATGATTCAAATCAGTTGAATTTGTGCAACATTTTTAAATTTGGACTCTTAAACCTTCTGTAAACCGTGATGCATGTGTGTGAGGGGATGCTTTTTACACATTTTTAAAATCACACATGAAATGATTCACATGATTTTATTAACAGCAGGACAACCCTGGGAGCTAAATGTTAACTTGGCAACTTTAACTTTGTTTTCTGACACATTATTTAACTTTTCATTGGTTTTAAGTTTTGCTGCAGGTGTGTTTTCTTCAGAAACACAAAAACAGTTTCTGAAAGCATCGATAAATGAGAACGGACAAAAGAACGCAAAAGACCATTAAAAACGTCTGCAGCTGACGCGTCTTTAATTCTAAATGTGCAAAACTTTACAGGTTCAGTCGTATTTTTATCTCCCAGGTTTATGAAGCAAGTCTAAAAAGTCTTACATAAAGCGTATTGTGTGTATTTGTAACTAAAACAACTGCTAAAGGAAAAAAAACGTAGAATAAACGTCACGGAGATTATTCATGCAGAAAAATCTGTATGAAATAAATAAACCTGAAGGTCAGACTTTTAATGCAGCTTTTTATTTCTGTTAACTGAGAAATCCTAGAAAGAAAATAAACTGTGTAAATTCACATAATTAATAAATTAATTAAAATGTATTAAAACAAGACTCATTGATTGATTTTCAATAATCAACTTTCCTTTGTTTTAATAAAAAAAGTGACTTCAAAATAATCTACTGTGAATATTTCATCTAAACACTAAAATAAATCACCTCGGTGTTTGTTTCATCTAAAACAAACTATTTGTTTAATAAAATCCTTCAGAATGAAATAATATTTCCCTTTAATAATAAACAATCCACGATATCAGCTTTTATCTGTGGTTCAGTGATGAACTTAAACAACACGATGGATGTTTGGACTCGTTTTCATTTACATTAATGATTAAAAACCATTTATTCCAAACTTCCAGTTTACTTAACCGGGAAAGCGCCGATCAGCTCTGGGACTCGTGACCCAGTTTCCAGCGGACAAAACCTTTTAGAAAATATCCAATCAAGTATCGTCTAAATGCGCTGATTTCTAAAGAGGTAAAAGCAGGATTTAACTCTCGGAGGGAATAAAGGAACTTTGTGTTTGGTGTTCAGAGCAGAGTGAAATCCCTCTGACGGTAGAAGAAGCTGTCGATTCTTCTCAGCTGCTGACAAGACGTAAAAATCAAGGTTAGCCCTCAGGGGAGGCGGAGGAAATGGGAAATGATTTTGGTTATTACAGCCAGGTGTTACTTCTCTGTGGGAATATCTCCTTGAACTATTTTAAAGACGGCGCCGTTTCCCTTGGTGAAGAAATGAGTTCTTCCTCTTTTTTGTGCGTGCGATCGATAAAAGCTGCTTTCCAGACGCTCACAGGTGCTGATTTTTACATTTCAGGTTGTCTGCTGCTTGTTAGTTTTAGGACCTCTAATCCAGCTATAATTATGGAAATAGTTTGTGTGTTTTCTTTTCTTTTTTATTAATTAGGTCGCTCCTCTCCGTGTGTGTGTGTGTGTGAGGCCCCCTGGTCATGCCTGTTTAGCTGCCCTGCGTGATGCCTGATCATGACAGCACCACCCTCCTAACCAGACAGACCAAGCGCAGACGTGTCGACATCGGGGTGAAAAGAACTGTGGGCAGCGCGATTTTTGCCCGTGCCAGAGACACCCTTTTGGACACCATGAACCAATCGCACGGCCCTGACCAGGACGGAGACTGCTCATTGGTCGGTCACGGCCACGGGGGGTCTGGCAGCGATGGGGAGAAGTCAAACGTCCTGAGGAAGCTGCTGAAGAGGGCCAACTCGTATGAAGACGCCATGATGCCTTTTCCTGGGGCCACAATCATCTCACAGTTATTAAAGAACAACATGGGGAAGAACGGAGGGAGTGATTCAGGCTTCCAGGTACATACCCGCAGGAAAAAGTAGATTTTAGTTTTGATTTTTGTTCAACCGACATTCAAAAGGTGTTTCAGTCACTCGTTAGGAAACCCGTATAGTTGAGTTTTTCTGATCTTTGTCTCAGGGAAGCGGAGCTCTGTCCAGCGGAGGCTCAGAGATCCAAGCCGAGGACGCCTGCAGCAACTCCTCCCGTGACAGTCCATCTGACTGCCTTTCTCCTGGGCCCCCTCTTCCTCCTCAGTCCTCCTCCTCATCCTTTGGTCGACCGCCACCGCCCTCCAACCACATCTCTCATGCTCCAACTCAGCCCCTCTCCCTGTCCTCCTTTGACTTGGACCGCCTGTCGGACGAGCACCTCAGAGCCAAGCGAGCTCGTGTGGAGAACATCATCCGTGGCATGAGTCACTCCCCGTTGGTGCGGCCCAACGGCACCGACCCCAACCAGGACAGCAGCCGAGAAAACGACAACGGAAGCTGCGACCTCAGAGGAGATGATGGCAGTCACACCACCAGCAGGCGCATCAACTGCCCTTCGTCCCTCCTGAGCTCTCCGGGCTCACGGGGCGGTGTGGTCAGCGTTGGCGAGGTTTACAGAGAAAACAAGAGGAAGCAGCGTCTGCCTCAGCAGCAGCACAGCTTCACCCAGCTGGTTTGTTCCAGGCAGGAGCAACGGCAGGAGGAGAGAAGGCAGCTCAAACTGCAACTAGAAGACATGCAGGTACCATTGCTGGGGTTGGGGTTAACCCTAACTCAGATTTAAGCTAGGATTAGGGTTAGGGTTAACCCTAATCCTAGCTTAAATCAAAGGTCATTTAAGACCTCAGTTGAGCTCTGAAGTAAGTTTACTTGGGTCTTTTGAGACTTTTCTCCTTCCTTTGTTCAGAAACAGCTGCGTCAGCTTCAGGAGAAGTTTTACCAGATCTACGACTCTGAGACCGAGGAGGAGGAGGAAAACGGTGTGACAGGAGAGGCCGACCGAAGTGGAGACAGAGAAGAAGATGGAAACTTGTCCGAGGACAGCATTCGGTCTGACGGTTTGGAGGAGAGGCACAGGGACAGAGGGCGGCACAACCACGATGACCTGTCCGAACTAGACCCAGGGCTGTTCCTGGACCGAGCCAGGGCACTCCTCCGTAAGCAGGTCTTGATAGACGGAGACATGGAGGAGGACGTGGACAGTAGAGAAGAGGAGGAGAGAAGAGGAGAAAGAGTGATGAAGAGGAGAAAGGGAGCATCAGTGGCGGAGGGAGGAGGAGGAAGTGGAGGAAGGCAGTTGGCTGAGACTCTGAAGCAGGAGCTGAACTGTGCCGTGTCTCAGGTTGTTGACACTGTCGTTAAGGGCTTCTCCACGCCACCCAAGCAAACCTCCGGTCACCATCATGGCTGCCATAGCAGCACACCTGCCGCACCTTCCTCCTCCTCCAACTCATCGTCCTCCTGCCCTCCACCATTCGGCCCCCTGCCCCCCCTCACCCCGGACTCGCGTTTCAGCGGTGGGAACCTGGCTCTTGGTCTGAACGGCGACGGCAGTCCCACCCCAAACTACCACACCTCCAACCAGAGGCTGCACTGCTTTGGCGACATGATCGTCCCCAGTCCACTGGACTCATTTGGCGGTCTGGGTGGAAGACTGAGCGGCGTGCCAACACCAAACGATCAAACAGAGGCATTGCCGCTGGTGGTGCGCAAGAGTGGGGGGAGTGGAGGAGAGAACCCTGCTCCTTCTCTCCCTCCACCTCCCCCTCCTCATCATCCCTCTCTCCACCCGTCTCCCCTCACAGCGTCCCTGGGGTTTAGCCCTCCGTCGTTCCGCCACCCGTTCCCTCTTCCTCTTATGGGTTACCCCTTTCAGAGCCCCCTGGCGTCCCACGGGGGTGGCGCTGGCTACCCTCCAGGGCTGAAGGACCACAGTCGGTCCTCTCCCGATTCAATGGACATAACCCGGGAAGCGGTCAGCCTCAGGACCAAAATGGCATCCCTCGGAGGAGGTCACATGGGTCACCACCACCACCACCACCACAGGCAGAGCTCTCCAAGCCAACACGGGCCAGAGGGTCTGTCGCTGTCCCTCATCAAATCCGAGTGCGGGGATCTCCAGGACATGTCCGACATCTCGCCCTTTTCAGGCAGCACTGTATCCTTACCCACGCTTGTAAACAACTGTGTGGTGTCTCTGTGTTTAAAAACCCACCAAAACAACTAATTCGGGGTAACAAATCAACCTTTTTTACAGTGAATGTGCTGGAGTGGAACCTTCTTGGTGCCCAAGAGTCACATTTTTAATGCAGTCAAACGCAGAGCCGTCGTGGAGGAAGCAGCAGCAGGAGCAAAGTGACACAAAGTCTTTAATATCAATTAATCTGCATTAATTGGTTCCTGCTCTGAGCCTCTTGTTTCCTCGGTGAGTGGGGAAGATGAAAAGGGCGCGCCGGGTCTTGCAAGAGGGGGAAGATTAAACAGGTTGCACGCTGCTCTCTCAAGCTCTTTTAAGTCTGTGCAGCAGGTTGTGTTGTTTAAAGGTGCGGAGAGAGACCAGCGAGCTCCCTCTTCAACACACACACACACACACACACACATACACACACACACACACACACACACACACACACACACACACACACACACACACACACACACACCGTCTGAGACACTCGTGCAGCGTTAACGTTCTCTTTCATCGCAAAGACTTTGTACATAAACGCTCAAAGCAAATCATATTTCATTTTGTCTGCGTGTGCGTGAGGTAAGACCTTGTTCACATGAGCTCAAAGCTAATCATATTTCAAAGAGCGTGGCAGAGGAGCAGGCAAATGGTTGGCTTTCTAAGTGTGTGTGTGTGTGTGGGGGGGGGGGGGGGCAAACACGAAGAAGAGGATAATATCAGAAATGTCTTTATAATATTTAGCCTGTTGTCTCCCCCTCCTCCCCGATGCCGTTTTGGAACAACTCCTACTCACTTTCATTTGCTGGCCTCCGTCCCCAGTTGCTTGGCAGCTGCTGTGCCGCACACACACTCGGCATTCCCGGCTCGTGCGTGTGGACAGGTGTTTGCAGGTAGCTGTTTATCTTTTCGTCCCTAACCTTTCATATGGAGAGGGCTTCTCCCAGCGTATACACGCTGACTCACACAGGCACACAAACACACACGTTTGAACAACAAAGAAAAGAAAAATAAGACTTTGAACCTGACAAACAGGGACTCCTTGCAGCTGCGATACGAGGATTTGATCACAGTGGCGTCTTCAAAGCTAATTTAGATGTCGCTTTAATTAAAAGCAAGAAGTATTTGACACGGCTCTTGATCCTGGTGAGCCGTTTCAAATCAAAATGTTCTCCTATTCATTTGTTATGGGAGTAAAGTAATCTTTGAAACTGGACATTAGTATTTCAAAGACAGGGACAAACCTCTAAAGCCATGAATGAAACAAACAATCACTCATTTTTTTCTGGAGGGAATTTGATGGTGTCTGAGGGGAAACATGACGAGGAAGCTCTTAATATTCCCAAGTTTGAAACGAAAGCCAGAGTGTCATCAATCAATGAAAATGTTGGAAACAATAGTTTAAATAATACAATACAGTCAAAATGTCCATATAAGAAGATATTTCCAAAATAACATTTGTCCAACATTTTGTTTCCAGAGTTAAGGTGAAATATCCAAATTAAAGACATTTTTAAAAGAAAGTCTAAATAATGACCGCTGCAATAAGTCTACAATTTGAAGGTTAAAGTCAAAATGTTTAAAACAGAAAAATCATCCAGAGTCAGCTGTTTGGGATAAAAAATAACACAGAACTCCAGAATGAGTCGCATTTTTAAGAGAAAAAAAATTCCAAGTTGAAATCCCAAAATTAGTCATCCACTTGGAAAATTTTTTCCAGACTAACCTTGAAACATTAGTCAAAAATTTCTGCTGCTGAGAACTGAAAAGGGAAGTCCGGCTTTAATAACGTTAAAAACTTTTTATCAAAATGATAAAAGTCAAAAATTTTGAGAAAGTCAAATTATTTCCAGAAAAGAATTTAAATTTTGACAATTCAACAAAAATCTGTTTCCACAAGTTAAAAAGTTAATTAAAAAGTTGTTTAAAATAATGTTAAAGGATCAATTTTAATAATAATAATAATAATAATAATAATACATTTTATTTAAAAGCGCCTTTCAGAACACCCAAGGTCACTTGACAGAAAATACTTAGTAAAATACAATAAAGTAACAATAAAACTCAAACAAGAAAAAACAAAGAGAGAAACAGTTCAATAAAATCAGAGGTCATAGGCAGATTTAAACATGTGTGTTTTGAGTTTGGTTTTGAAAAGGGTAAAACTGTCGACGTTCCTGATGTCTGGGGGAGTGAGTTCCAGAGACGAGGAGCAGAGCGGCTGAAAGCTCTGCTCCCCATGGTAGCGAGACGGGCAGAAGGAACAGCAAGATGGAGGGATGAAGAAGATCTGAGTGAACGGGACGGGGTGTTAATACTTATAAGGTCTGAGATATATGGAGGAGAGAGGTTGTGGATGGCTTTGAAGGTATGGAGGAGAAGTTTGAAGATGGACCTGAATTTAACTGGGAGCCAGTGAAGCTGTTGGAGGTTCGGGGCGATGTGGTGAAAGTAAGGTGTTCTGGTGATAATACGGGCTGCTGAATTCTGGACCAGTTGCAGTTTATGAAGGAGTTTGTTGGGGAGACCATAAAGAAGTGAATTGCAGTAGTCGAGACGGGAGGTGACGAGGCTGTGGACGAGAATAGTGGCAGTGTGAGGGGTAAGGGAGGGGCGGAGACGGTTTTTGGAACATAGATGGAAGTATGCTGACCGAATTATGTTATTGATGTGAGCTTGAAAAGAAAGTGAGCTGTCGAGGATGACACCCAGACTCTTGACGTGAGGGGAGGGGGAGACTATGGCGCTGTCAATTGTTAAAGAAAAGCTGTCAGATTTTGGTGGATTTAGAACCAACTAGAAGAAGTTCAGTTTTATTGCTGTTGAGTTTGAGGAAATTAGAGGTGAACCATGATTTGATTTCAGAGAGGCAGAGGGTAAGGGAGGATGGTGGGAGAGTTGAGTTGGGCTTACTGGAAATGTAGAGCTGGGTGTCATCTGCAAAGCAGTGGAACTGGATATTGAATTTGCGGAAGATTTTGCCGATAGGGAGGAGATAAACTATGAAGAGGAGGGGCCCTAGGACAGAGCCCTGGGGCACACCTGACTTGACTGGGGAGGGTTCTGAGGAAAAGGATTTTAACTGGATGAACTGAGTACGGCCAGTAAGGTAAGATTGAAACCAGCAGAGGGGGGTGTGAGTGATGCCTAAGGAGGGGAGTCTATTGAGGAGGATGGGATGAGAAACGGTGTCAAAGGCCGCACTCAGATCGAGGAGAATGAGAATAGAGATTAAAGTAGATATGTTAATAAAAATTTACAGTTCCAGAATGAAGAATAAAGAAACAACTCTAAATATTATTTCTCACTACAAAGTTGAAAGGTCAACGATAAAGTAGCGCCTCAAGAATTATTATTATTATTATTATTATTATTATTATTATTATTATTATTATTATTATTATTATTATTATTATTATTATTATTATACGTTTCTAAGTATAAAGTTCTTATGTTGAGAAGAAAATCTAATTTATTTTCCAGAATCAAGTAAAAATGATAAGAAAATAATTCTGAATAGTTACTAATACTACTGAAGTAAACTTAACTCCTGCAGCCACATCTGTCTCAGCAGCAGAGGAACTTCCTGTGGTCCTTCAAAATAAAAGTCTCAAACATAAACACACCTCTAAATACTTCAAAATCATGAGAATAGCCATCCTGCTGCTGAATTAAACCAACTCTCTGATGAGTCTACATGTTTTGTTCTTATCCAGATGAAACTTATGGTGCGTGTGTGACAAAGCATTATGGGTATTATAGGTTGTCATGTCGGTTTAGTTTATGATTTCTCTCTAACTGTCCAAAAATCTCATTACTTCTCACAATTACAACTTTTTTACTTGAAATAATGTTGAGAATTTTTCCTACCCATTTGGACTTTTTCTTTCAATTTGGCTTTGTTCTGGAAGTACTGATTCATCTTTCGTTTTAACATCTTGACTTAGTCAACAGCAGGTTTAGCTTACTTTAAAGGTGTGGAACACTCATTTAATCAACACATTTTCAGTGGGCTTTAGTAGGAATTAATGCCTTGTAAGTCGTACTCTGGGGAAACAAAGCACCGGTGCACCATTTTCAGAAAGTAGAAGTGAGCCACATCACAGCTGGGCTTCAGTGTTCAACGCTGATGTCTTATCGCCACACAATAGCGCAAGCCTGGAGGAGTTTTGCTGTGTGGTGGAGTTGCTAATGCTAACAATTAGCGTCTACTAGCTGAGATGTTTTCTGCTGTTTCCTGAATGCCAAACCATTAACAGCTTTCCCATCATGAGTCTAGATGGGTGAGTCCATGAATGTTAAGTGACAGAGTGATGTAGATCTGTCAGGATTTTCTAATCCTAGAGTTTCACCGTCTTATTTTCTATCAGAAGCTAATGCAGGAAATAGGTGTAGGAGACTATTTTCATGTTCAGCCTGCATGAACTTGCCTGCATAAGCTCATGTCTCAAAGAAACGGCCAAGTTTAAGCAGTCCAAAGTTGTGTCAAACGAGCGCTGTTCCTCAGCTGAAGCTAGCTTTGTAGCTTCTCCGTTGCAACATCCCTCAGCAAATATCAGAGCTGTGATTGGCCAGACTTACACTTAGCTGAGCCAATGGTAGACCTGCTGAGGCCACAGTGGAGCATGGCTGGACCGGCACGCAGAGCAAAATCAACTGCTACGGTGCGTCTAGATTTTTAGATTACATTTTTACAACATTTGTCTCAAACTTGCCACATTTTGCAGAAACTCTCTCCATTACGAATTTGGTAGAACTTGGGTCTACTTCACCTGGGAGACTCTCCCTCTCACCAAACACACTCAGGTCTGTGGAGCTTTAATCCTTTGTATTGAGCTGAGCAGATGTCCTCCATTCATTTATGAATTTATCCCTCTAACAACCCCCATCCTTTTACTTCTCAATCCAGCCCTCACACACACACACACACACACACACACACACACACACACACACACACACACACACACACACACACACACACACACACACACACACACACACACACACACACACACACACACACACACACACACACACACACACACACACACACACACACACACACACACCTGGTAACAAGGTCAAGTTACTGCTGGTATCTTGGGCCCTACACACAACTCTCTCAGGCCAATGACAGATAGGCATTCATTTAACCAATAGGATCACCAGGAAGGAAGAGAAAGAAATAGAACATCCCCAGTCATTTTGGTTATTCACCGACTCTACCATTACACAAAAACAACACGTCATTTGTTCTTTATTCATGACATTGCCTCATACGTGTTTACTACGAGCCGTGTTTTTGTGCTTTAGTTTGTTTGTGTCCAAAATAAACCCAGCGACAGGCTGCAAAAGCCTGAACGCCGTGTATTATTTGACCCAAACACACAGGTAGTGACAGGTTGCTATGAATCTTAACAAAAGGACGGTGTTGTTGTCCAGTGACCTGATGAATCCATGGCCAAATGAAAGATGGATGAGATTCAGCTCCAGCCAATGGCACGGTTGCATCATGGTGTTAGAAGGTGTTGCACAGTCAGAGTTTGGAAACATTAAAGTGCTTGAAACTACTTTTGTTTTTGAAAATGTGAGGTTGAGGGGGAGAAAAATGGTCAAATTTGCTTTCATTTTGCAGCCATACACAGCCCCTGGGGTTTGTATTTGTGTGTGCTAGTGTGTGTATGTGTGTGTTTCACTGCGTGCTAATTGACCTTGCAGGGGGCTCCATTGATTGCCTCATCTTCTCTGATAGATTATAGGCCTTTTAATGTGGTGGGGAAATGGCGGCGTGGTGGGCCACAGCTGTTGTCACCACACACGTGCACACACACACATTCACACTGCTGGACGTGCACGCTCTTGGTGCCCCTGCATCCGAGGGCCTTCACAATTATTATTTTGGTTGTGTAGACGGTGGTGCGGTCTCTGCAGAGCCGGTGAAATGCGGGGGTGATTGTGGGATTTGATCAAAGGCCAGCAGGTGCTCGTGTTTGCTTTGGGTGTAAACTGCCATGCCCTGCACATAACCAGGTTCCTCTTAAAGGAAACGTTTTATTCAAAAAGTGTTACCTTTACACGTTTAATAGAAAAGTGTATGAATTTGCTGTGGGCTGAGAAATTCCCAAAAGTTTATTGTTCTTCCCTTCAACATTATTTGCCGCTGAGCAAGGCACTGGCATTTTGATCAAACTAGAAACTATTTTCAGGAAATTCTGATTCCCCTTCTTACTCAAGACGCCCCATCAGCTTGTATAAATCAGTTGAAGTTCCTCTAATAAAGGTCAAAACCTTGAATTTCCCTTTTAGACCCAAATCAGAGGTCGGGATTTAAAATAATTACAGCCAAAAATGTTTGTACTAACAGTAAATAAGAGTCAGGACTATAAAACGGATTGCAAAAGGAATAAATTTAAACATGATAATGAGAACACATCTGTAATTTAGTACATTTGTTGGATTTGACCAAATTGTGGCAGATGTTTTCATTTTACTTTCAAAAGACTGTCAACTTCTTCAATAATGCTTCTTTACACAGGGACGATGTTTTCTCCATCTGTTCATCCATCCATCTATCCATCCATCCACCCATCCATCCATCCATCCATCCATCCATCCATCCATTCATCCACCCATCCATCCATCCATCCATCCATCCACCCATCCATCCATCCATCCATCCATCCATCCATCCATCCATTCATCCATCCACCCACCCACCCATCCATCCATCCATTCATCCATCCATCCATCCATCCACCCACCCACCCACCCACCCATCCATCCATCCATCCATCCATCCATCCATCCATCCATCCATCCATTCATCCATCCATCCACCCACCCACCCACCCATCCATCCATCCATCCATCCATCCATTCATCCATCCATTCATCCATCCACCCACCCACCCATCCATCCATCCATCCATCCATCCATCCATCCACCCACCCACCCACCCACCCATCCATCCATCCATCCATCCATCCATCCATCAAAGCCGCCCTGTCCATTAGTCGCACAATGACTTACACGGCCAATTTGTTGAATCAATTAACAGAAAGTTAAAGTGGTACAAAAGCTTTGATATTATAATCAAAGGTCAATTTTTCTCACATTTTTAATACGTGGTCTCTAGTAGGAATGAATGACTTGTAAGCCGTTCTCTGTGGAAACAAAGCTCTGGTGCTCCTGCTGCAGGACATATAAGTCATCCAGAGAAAGCGGAACTAGACGACAGGATTTAGAGTCTTATTTCCTGCTGTTTGGGCATTTCACCAAACCATTGGTTAACAGAAATGTGACTCTACCACTGACTCTGCAAGTTGATGTTTTATCTCCAAAAACAACACAAGCCTGGAGGTGTTCTGCTGTGTGGTGGAGTTGCTAATGCCAACAGTTAGCTTCTAATAGTTGAGACATTCTCTGCTGTGTCATGGGCGCTAAACCAACAACAGCCTTCCCCATCGCAAATCAAGATGGGTGAGTGCATTAATGTTAAATGACAATGTGACGTAGATCCATCAGGATCTTCTGAGCCGAGCATTTCACCATCTGTGTTCTATCAGAAGCTAATGCAGGAGATGTAGGAGACTATTTTCATGTTCAGCCTGCCTGTCAAACTTAGAGTAGCCGATCACTTAAAAAAATAATAAGTTCAAAATGGTTTCTCGGTAAACCTGCTCTTTAAGACATGAAATGACTCTGAGTTCTTCATGAAAGTTCTGGTAGTCCTTTAACTGACTTCACCTCAGATTCAAGAGGGCCTGTCTCCCAACCATCTGAAGAAAGCCAAGCTGATGTTCTTCTACACTCGCTACCCATCGTCCAACATGCTTAAGATGTTCTTCTCTGACGTCAAGGTGAGACAATTTTACTTTTATTCAGTTCCTCAGTCAGAAAATGTTTCTTCTGTTCTTCTCCCTTCCTATTTGTCCTGATATTTCCACATTTTTTTCCTTTCTTATTATCAATTGAGAGAAATTTAGGTAATTAAACATCTCAAAGAAGATCAAATCTCAGGAGACTAAAACTAGTTGTAAACAAACTATGTAAATGTGCACTTTTAAATGTATACGATGGAAAATGTAAGTCGTAGTTTGCTCTGAGAGATCAAAGGATGCGAGACGGACCGTAGTGACTGTAGAGTCAAACATGAACGTAAATCAATCACCAGCTGATGATCAGTTCTCAGAAATCCCAACAGCGATTCATTATCTTGTAATAACAGGTAGCTGCTGCGTCTGTTGCAGGAAATCATTAGTTTTTAGATTTTATGACTGAGTGATACGGAGTGGACGTGTCTTTGTGATGAGCGCAGATGGGTGCTCCAGTCTGGCACGTTTTTTAGAGCATAATTAGAGTTTCTGGCCTTAATCGGCCCGGGGTTGGAGTGAGGGGGAGTGGATGACGCCCACTTTCCCTCTCACACACTCCCAACACACTGTACAGTCCCATCCCCCAACACACACACACACACACGCATGCACGCACGCACGCACGCACGCACACACACACACACACGACTCAAACCTTTGTGCTCCTTTCACTCCAAACGCATGCAGATTTGTTGACAGTTTTAAAAACCAAGCTTCAGCAACGAGTGGGAACTGTAGTAAAAGGTTAGCGTTAGCAGGGGAGAAAAGGATGATGTGACTGGATGTTCAGTAAAAAGTGAGGAGGGGCACACAAATGAAGGAGAGAACAACAGAACAACAGCGTTAAAACAAAAGCGCTGATTGTTTTGTGTTTACAGGCTGCTACGGGTTTTGCAAAAGGAGCATACGGCTCCTCGACAGATTCAGGACGCTGTATTCAAATGAGCAACCACACACACACACCAGCTGCCCTTTGGCTCCGGTCTTCGGTGACCACTTCCTCGTGGTAGTGCCACATCCTCATCAGTTGCTGCGGCAACCCGGGTCGCTGGGACACCAGGTTGCCAGGCAAACTCAAGGTTGCTAAGCGTGCCCAGTGCCTGAGAGGAAGAGTCCGATTTGTCATTAACCAGGAGTCCATTAGGTGATTAAAAACCTCACTGAATAATTAAAAAGCAGGAGTATTAGAAATCTACATTTTACATGTTTTGAAACAGAAACATAAGTTTTAAAATCACCCAAACTGTTTTTAAAAATCATTGCTAAATAATCAGATTTAACTATATTTTAAATTATTGATGTCAGCCTTTAGGTTTAATATGCTAAAATAATTAATTAGAACTAATAAGTTAATGAGAGCCTTAGTTAAACTTTTAGAGACATAAAAATAAACTCACCAGTCTGTGGATTTATTCTTGATATTCACCTTTTCTTTCTGATCTAAGAAAATGTCGGCAGTGGTTTAGATTCCCTCAGCAGATGGAAGGTGTTGCATGTAAAACTATAAACTGAAGCATTTAGTGGAATAAAACCAAATACATAAAGGATTTTACTGAAAAAAAATGTTTAATAGATGAAATAATAAAAGTAATAAAATAGGCAGTGAAAATGAAATAAACACATTTGGCTTTTTCCTGATTTTACAACACAGATCAATTTAATAAAGCTCTAAAGGCAAATTTGAAATGAAATTATCTTAAAAAATTATTTTTCATGCCACTTAACAATATTCTAAAATAGTACAGCTATGAATATAATGTGGAGATTATTTAAAATAAATGAAAACAATTACTGAAGTGGTTGTCTTGTATTTACCTAAAAACCTCCACCAATAACACGTTTTGAACCGAAAGCAACTACTGGACCATCCGGTTGTTGGTGTCGTCGCTGCACTTCCATGGGTCCTCCACTCATCACACACTCACGTATTTAGCACCAGAACAACACTGGTGTGAGAGGTTCTCTGCTCTACAACATCAGAGAAGGAGAAACAGCCGACTGCTACCACTTGAACTTTAGGACAAACTACTAGAGTCCAAAAAAGAAAAACACCATTTGAATTCACGGGCAAGGAAAGACGTTTAGACCTAGAAAATAATGACTGGTGTTTAGCGCTATCTTGTTCTCTGTCCGTTATTACAGGTTTTTGGTTCCGGCAGAAGCGTTTCAGGGAACATACCCGAGGGGAGGGGTGAACGTTCCTTAACCATGTTTGCGTTCAACAGAGGTGTGACATTGTGGCATCATCAAGTCATCTCCAGCCCTATGTATATATATATATATATATATATATATATATATATATATATATATATATATATATATATATATATACATATATATATACATATACTGTATATGTGTGTGTGTGTGTGTGTGTGTGTGTGTGTGTGTTTATTAATACATTAATACATTTTTTTATTCTTTATTTTTATTCTTTCTCTATCCTGACCACTTTTAGAACAGGTATTTATAATTTAAAGTGCAAATGTGTATTTTCCCTGGCGATAGAGGGCAGTACCTATATCAATGCAAACAAGTAGTATTTACCAAAGGGTGGCCATTAGGGTCAAAAATCCCTTTCGTCACTGGCAGTGAGTGAAGAAGTAATTGTATAAAACAACGTTTGTGAATGAAAAAAGTTTTGTAACCATTTGTTACAAATCAGTAACTGTGTTTTGTCCTCACGGGCTCCTGTAGAAGGAAACATGGAGTCTAATATGGCGTCACCATACTTAGGCCCTGTCCACACGTAGCCGGGGATCTGCCAAAACGTAGATATTTTTCTACGTTTTGGCCTGTCATCCACACGAAAACAGAGTTTTTTCACACGAAAACGGATCTTTTTAAAAACTCCGGCCAAAGTGAAGATCTGCGTTTTCTCCGTTTTGGGTGTCTGCGTGTGGACGGACAAAACCGGAGTTTTAAGGTCCGCAACGTCACTTTCCGCGACAAAAAATGCTGACATCACGTGTGCGACCTGTGTTTACACTAGCCAACAGCATGGATGCCCTCAGAGCTGCGCTCTGTCACTACCCGATCCATCAATTGTCCAAGCGCTTTTTGCTCGTTTGTTTTTGCAAGCGGAATTACTGCTCCTTGCGGAAGACCACAGACGAAGGACGAGGTTAAGAACGGGGGAAGTACTGCCGCCTACAGGTCTGGCATGTCCTTAACAACGTATTTGTCCAGGTATGTGTGGACAGAGTTTTTTTATTAAAACGCGGTGGTGTGGATGCAAGTTTTTGGAGGGGCGGACATTCGTTTTTAAAAAACCCCGGCTACGTGTGGACTAGGCCTCCATGTCATGTTTTTGTTCTGCTCAGCAACTGAACCAGGTGATTTCAATCAGCAGTGAATTAACCTCGTTCAGTTGCTGAGCAGAACAAAAACATGACATGGAGATGACTTGATGATGCCACAATGTCACACCTCTGGGTTCAAAACCTAGCTTACTGTAGATTCACTACAACGGCTTTAAACGGAGGACGAAAGAGCAGAAGACAAATCTATCTTGAATCCATAGTTCTGTGATGCGTTCCCAGGAAAAGGTGTCAACGGTTAAGACACAGCTGTCAAAATCCAGATTTTCTCTTTCCAAGTGTACCTAGAAATGTTTTGATGCTACTTTAAAAAAAACACAAAAAATGTAGATTTCTCTTTCATTAAATCTAACAATGCTAGGTGAAAACAACAGTGCCAAATGGCGGCTCTCTGGTAGATCGGGGGGGTGTGGGGGGGGGGGGGGGGGGGGGGAGCCAATTGGCTGTTCTCTGGGAGTTCTACTGCTAAACTCATACCAAAGTACAGCAAACACCCCCAAAAGCATGACAGCTTCATTAAGAACATTTCCTCCCTTTAAAAGTAACTGTCCATGTAGATGTATGCAAATAGGTGTTTATAGTATGTTTGGGTTTTAATTGAGTCCTAATCCCATTTAATCCGGTATATTTATGAGAGAATTATACGGAATAATAAAGATGAATCGTGGGTAATCCTGTTTGTGATGAGTGAGGCTGTTCTTTTCGAGGCCGGTCTGTCTGAATGTGTGTGTCCCGGTCCATTGTCCCTCTGCATTCATTGCCCTCATCATTACCATATTTGCAAAATCCGGGTCAGTGTCTCTTTCTCTTTTTCTTTCTCACCCTTCTTACTTCTACTACCCCCACCTGCCCCTCCTTCCTGGTAAACAACATGTGTTCGGAGGATCGGGGAGATTCACTGTAAGGGAATTAGAACCCCTAATTGGACGTGAATAGACTCCGTCTATGGGAAAACTGGTTCTTAAGGACGAACCTCTTATGAACAATGGTCTCCATGCTTGCAGTGGGAAGTGGGTTGAGTGGACGACTGTTTTAGACACAAGGGGAAACCTCTTGCCTTCTGACCAGACGATCGTACGTGCTAGCACGAGACGCCGAGGTTGCTGATGTCTCGCCTTGAGGGAGTCAGTGAGAGTAATTAAGACCTCATTAAGACTGGAGGAGGATTAATTAGACGCTTGCCGGCTCAGGGAGCTCCTTCCAAGTCACAAAGACACACATACAGGTGCTGGCCAGTAAATTAGAATATCATCAAAAGGTTGAAAATATTTCAGTAATTCCATTCAAAACGTGAAACTTGTACATTATATTCATGCAATGCACACAGACCAATGTATTTCCAATGTTCATTACATTTAAATTTGATATTTATAGGTGACAACCAATGAAAACATCAAATCTGGTATCTCAGAAAATTAGAATATTCTAAAGGCCAATGAAAAAATGTTTGTTTCTCTAATGTTGGCCAACTGAAAAGAATGAACATGAAAAGAATGTGCATGTATAGCACTCAATACTTAGTCGGGGCTCCTTTTGCCTCAATAACTGCAGTAATGCGGCGTGGCATGGACTCGATCAGTCTGTGGCACTGCTCAGGTGTTATGAGAGCCCAGGTTGCTCTGATAGTCGTCTTCAGCTCCTCTGCATTGTTGGGTCTAGCGT